GGGAAGTTCGAAGAAGGCGGGGGAAGGCCGGAGAAGCCGAAGGTCCAGCGAATCAACCAATCAATCAATCAATCAATCAATCAATCAATCAATCAGTCAACTAAGAAGGAAAGGGAATCCTTAGCGGATGTCGGGCACCCTACAGTCTCAACCAGAAAACAAGGTACGGACGTTGTTTTTTTTTTGTTTTTTTTTTGGGAAAATATTCAGTATTTCATTACAGCGAAAACCTGTGATGAGGCTGGGGACCTCACAATTCAACCCGGAGTTACCCTGGCAGTATCAGCCAGTTTTGCTTACAATGCAGGCTCGCTGACCTACCTCTATTCCAGGTCCATCCCGACTACTGTTTTGAAAACCGGGTCCAACGTCCCATGCTAAGACCAAAGTCTTTCCAAAAATCAAACCTCGAAGCACCGGGAGAAAGGGGGCCGTCACACACACAAAGGCACAAACATTCACTCACAAGGACGCACAGAAGAACACAGACACACAGACATACACAGACATGCAGACATAGACACACACACGCACAAACTGTCGTGTTTACACAACACAAACAGACACGCAGACACAAACAGACACACAAACAGGGATAGACACTGACGCACACTGGTGGACACACACACAAGAACACAGGCACACAGACACACACAGACACAAAGACAAAGGCTTGTAGTGACAAAAAGTTTCCCCAGAACCAGTATAGGCCTATAATCACTTTGGGCTGCGCCACTCGTGTTTACACACAGACACACGCACACAAGGACACAGTTAGACACACACAGATACACGGACACCGACTCACACAACGACAAAGACACGCACAGACACACGCACTGAAACACGGTCACGGCCACACACGGACAGAGGCACAAACGGACACACTGACACAATCCGTGTCTGTGTTCGTATGTCTTTTTGTGCACCGCACACAAACACAGACTCAGCCCGTGTCTGTGTGCGTATGTCTTTTTATGTCTGTTTCCGTGCCTGTGTTTGTCTGTGCACAGTGGCAGAGACTAACGCAAGCACATTCCTAGAACTGTTATAGGCCTATAACCACTTTCGTCTGTGGCAGTCGAGTTCACACACAGACACACGCACACAAGGACACAGTTAGACGAACACAGTTAGACGGACACAGTTAGACACACACAAACAGACACAACCACAAACACAACCAAACACACACAGGCACAGGCGCACACAACCAGACACAAGAACACACAGATACACACACACACACAGACACACACGCACACACACACACGCAAACACAGGTACACGCACACACA